ACCATCAATTACATAAATCATTAACAATTTCCTTTGAAGAAATAGAACACATTGAAACATGGGAAACAGATAAATATCTGTAATATACTACTACATCCAATAATTTCAAACATTCGAGATATATGTATGATTGTCATGGCCTCTACCCATTTGGATAATGGTGTCATGATTCCTACTTATCAATTCATATTTTAATCGTAAAAGTAGATTATAGAACTTAATTAAATGACATTCGAACTCGAAACACGTCACAAGCAAATATAACCCAGAGTATTACGTATTGCTGTATTCATTATTCATAGGTTTTAGAGAGTTCATATTTTCAGGTTCATATAGACCTACAGTATGTATACATATAAATTATGTAGTTGTAAATTATAATGGACAGTTGAATCAACAGACTTTGAACTTACACTTGCTTCATTAAAAATGGAAACATATTTTATGTGAGCAGTCTAAAGTAATAATTAAATCTGGAGACGATCCTTGATAGTACTCGCAATAGGCTTATTCTATATATATATATATATATGTATATATATATATATGTATATATACCGGTATATATATTCTTGATTGTGAAATATTGGGGTTTATCCTCAGAAATATGCATCAAGCTTCTTCATCTCACTCTCCCCTCCCTTATCTCTCTCCATACCTCACCCCACCGTCTTTCTCTGTCTCTTGCAATCCTTGCAATCCAATCCAATATATATTTTAGCAAAATAGGCCACATTCTCATAACACAGTACTTTATAACCAAGTTTATGAACTATATTTGTATTCAATTTTTTTCCAGCAGACTATATTCACGAACTGACTAAATGATATAAAATACCTTAATTACGTAATGATAAACACAGAATAAACAAGGCTCGAGATAAATGACTTTTATTTCAAGTTAACTGGAGACTTTCATATCTAAGTCATTATGCTTATATATCATTTCAGAATAATGGTACGATGGTGGAATAACTCTTCAAATCATAATTACATTTTTTTGAGAATTTATCTTGTAGGTACTTTTATGAGGAAGGTATATCATTTTCATTCATTGACTATGTATTATAGGGAGCTTCCAAGCTACTTCAAACTAATGATTTGTGAAGACCGTGCATATATAAAGTAAATCATTTCAATTTTTCATTTCATCATCAGTCAGGTGAAATTCTGGTTTTCAACTGTATGACTCAAGATGAATTGAAGTAAACAAACAAAACTTATATATATTATGCTAGCATACAGTCACCAGTTATTCTATAAATAACGCGTTTTTGTATTCTTTTTTAAAAGTTAAATTTAGGTAAAATCACGTTTCCCTGCACAAATCACGTCTATTTTGACATGTAATTACATTTATTTTTACAATACTAGCACAATTTGATAACATTAACTCACAGAATAATTGATTCAAATTATTCTTTTGCATGAGAATAAACGGCTATGTTAAGTTGGTTACGTGATAAATGTGATAATGCAACTTTTTCCCTCTAAAAAGTCAGTATTTGAAGATCTTTACGTTTCAAGATTAAACTGTTCTGAAAGGAATTCCATTTATTTCCTTACTATTTTGTATTTCTTTTGATAATCAACCAATAAACACGTACAATAATAAGTCATAAAGCCAGTCATTAATCATCTGGCATTTTAACTATTTGACATAGAGTGCAATTATATTTGAAAAAAAGTACACTTTCAAAAGAAATAAATTAAAATAAAAAAAATACCTAAAAATAATTCAGTTGCTGACGTACCTTGTTTAAATATTATACAATGCGGCTCTTGTAGCCCTAGCTAGCTAGCTATGCAAGGCATCCATTTGCAAATCAGTGGTGTTTACCCATGAAAAAAGCACGCCGGGAAAAGGTGCCGTAATCTTATGACGTATGCATGTTAACTATATTGTGAGTGTGACGTCACCAAAAAATAAAAAAATTTCTATTATAACAAAAATATTAATAACTACAGCATGTCATTTCTTAAAATTATTGGCTTTGTTTAACTTGGAAAGTAATGTGCGGATGACTTTTCAAAAGGACTGTTGAATTTTACGTTATTGTGAAGAAAAATTTAAAAAATGGCTCAATGAGGAAGATGCTGTGTGCCTAAGCAAAGAAACTTGTGATTAATTTGAACAAAATATTTCCCCGACGAAATCTACTCTTTTTCCTGATGGCGGTTGGGGTTGGAAAAGACTTCACTCATAAGAGTACTTTAGTTACCTCAGCTTCTTCATCGACATTATTTTTATTAGAACTCACGGTTACTTACTGTGAAAAACATCATGCATTTGATTTTGCGCAGTGATTTTGTGTCTTAGGCATTCAAACTCCCCCTCCCCCCGCCCTCCGCCGGGACCTAGGACACCATGTCGGGCCAATCCTGGCGCCACCACTGGTGTCAAGATAGACAAATCCATTACGAGTTTGCGTACTGAAGATATGGAGTAGGCTAAAGAGGTATGTTATTGATTACATATTATTACAGGTATCTATCCAGAAACTATATGAACATTTTCTCAAATTTATGTGAGTTTAATTTACAATTAATCCACAAAATGTTGCTAATTCTATTCCTTTAGCCATTCAAACCTGGGTCTAGACACTTTATATGTAATTAGATGCTTGATACAAAGTTATTGTGCAAAATCTACTAAAAATTATTCTTTAACCCTGAAAACATAGGTATGGACACTTTACCTGTCATGATTGAATGCTTAGATGCAAAATTACCGAGAATGATCCATTTTCTTTTAATGGCGGTAACTAATTTAAATATTTATGCAAATTAGGTGACTTCTGTGTTGAAATTCGCGTCCCATTTTCAAAATTTCATTCAGCACAATCTTATAAACTTGAATCAGCATTAAAACAAACTTTTAAAAATTTGTTTGACTAAGAGCTCTAAATCTGCTCCTCTACTAGTCCACGCTTCGAGCGCTTTGAGACTCTGGTGTAAAGCGCTATGTAAATATTTTTATTTATAAAGATTATCATTTGCAATTGCGATATCACATATAAAGACTCCTGTAAACCACCACGATTATGCTTTCTGTATTTGCCCAATCATTTAATGCCAATAACGTTAAGCATATGATTTTTTTTAAATATAGTGTGTTTTGACACGACAAAAATCTTAATAGCCTTTTACTATGATTGTTTTAGGCAATTCATAGATCATTTTGAAACCTCTTACATTATTAAATGCAATAGTAACCTGGTTAAGGCGTCACGGTGAATGCTTGAATTTCAATTATTGTTTCTGGCTATAACTGTATATCTTCATTTTGGCCTAAGTTCAAACACAAGGTTGTTTACATTGATTGTGCCCTTAGGCAAGGAACTTTATCTACATTAATGTGTCTCTCTTCACATTCGAGTATATTGATAGCTGGAAGAATGTTTGAGTATATCTCCGCTCATGCTTCTTATTTCTATCTCAACCGATATTTAGCAATTGTTTCCGATGGCTTTAAAATACTTCAAAATGTAGTACGGTAAGGTCAATTCGCTTGAATCCTAACTGTAGCTTCAAGCAATTTATGTTATATTTAAGTATCGTTTCGAACAACACCTGTCCTTAATAAATAAATAAAAAAAAAATATTATAATAAATGTTAAACTTCTATAACGTAAAATGCCAGTGCTTCGATGCGTATAACATTACGTAAAAAATATAATAAAACCCCTTCCAGCAAACACGAACTCTAATAAACCCATGCACACAAACTCATTGGTTTTGTGTGTTTTATATGGGAAACGGCAAAACATGTGCTAAAACTCAATAGGTCACCGTCAACCATCATTCTGGGGCAACCCCGGACCTCTGCCTAGATTACTTGAACCATGGACCTATTAATAAGGTCCATGCTTGAACAAAGGAACTTGATACACATTTGGCGTGAATGCTTGAATTTCAATTATTGTTTCTGGCTATAACTGTATATCTTCATTTTGGCCTAAGTTCAAACACAAGGTTGTTTACATTGATTGTGCCCTTAGGCAAGGAACTTTATCTACATTAATGTGTCTCTCTTCACATTCGAGTATATTGATAGCTGGAAGAATGTTTGAGAATATCTCCGCTCATGCTTCTTATTTCTATCTCAACCGATATTTAGCAATTGTTTCCGATGGCTTTAAAATACTTCAAAATGTAGTACGGTAAGGTCAATTCGCTTGAATCCTAACTGTAGCTTCAAGCAATTTATGTTATATTTATAAAGAAGTATCGTTTCGAACAACACCTGTCGTTAATAAATAAAGAAAAATAATATTATAATAAATGTTAAACTTCTATAACGTAAATGCCAGTGCTTCGATGCGTATAACATTACGTAAAAAATATAATAAAACCCCTTCCAGCAAACACGAACTCTAATAAACCCATGCACACACACACTCATTGGTTTTGTGTGTTTTATATGGGAAACGGCAAAATATGTGCTAAAACTCAATAGGTCACCGTCAACCATCATTCTGGGGCAACCCCGGACCTCTGCCTAGATTACTTGAACCATGGACCTATTAATAAGGTCCATACTTGAACAAAGGAACTTGATACACATTTGGCTTGCTCAGAAATGGCGATCAAAACAGTGACTTCCTCTTAAAGACAAATGCAAGCCTGACCAAGGTAATACAATGAAAACATTTTACTAATTAAAGAGTATTGTATCGTAGAGTATTACAACCCAAAAAGGTCAATATGTAAATGGTGCTGTACCAAAGCGTTTAAAATTAAATGTCAAAATTAGGTACAAACGTTTTTTTTTTAACCCCCGCGTACCGCATTATGCAATGTATGGTACATAGACTTACCGATAGTTGAAAATACAAAATAATACTTTGTAATTTTATACTGATGTTTTGGTATAGAATATAAAGTTTAATGTTTTGTATAATAACTACCCATTACTGTATTACATTTTTGTTATTGCTTTTGTCTTACAGTACGTGCATTAATAAAAGACTTTGTATTTTATTGCATTACAGGTTTCAACACAAGTGACGTGTTTCCTGTTAATGCTAGTAACGATTGATCGGTATTCACTGATAGTTAAAGCAGTTCAGTCTCGCAAGTCAAGAAGTATTCGAAAAGCCCGCATTACAATATCCTGCATATGGATAGGTAAGTCTTCTCGGATAAGGACTATAATCCGTAAGCCCAGTGTAGGCAATTTGGTTCGTGTGTGCACTTAAAAGAACCTAGTACGTCTTTCGAGACAAGTAGGAAGTTACTCCGGTGTACTAGCCCATACAGCCTCTGTTGTGGACAGACAAGAGTAGCTGGTACCGGTTTACCGGGTAGCTCAGTCATAAAGAGACTCTTAGGGAAGAAGAAAGTTACTATACGAGCTAGTCCACAGCGCTTTGAGTCTCCGGTATAAAGCGCTATATAAATCGATCTACATTACATTATACCAACGTCTTCAAGATTGTTACAGGGTGCTTTGAAGCATGCTCCGGAGGAAAAGAAATTGTTGACCCGATTTACAACACTTGTTTTTACAAGACACAAAAAGTATATTTGATGAAAAACTTGGGAACAGTTATTGAGATACAGATTTTTGAATAGTAAAAACTGAGGTGTGGAAAGGAACGTAATCACGCTTTCGCACCCTTTTCCCCAGTTTATAAATATTCATCAATCTTTATCTCATTAGCCGTTTCCTAGTGGTTCGTCAAACACCCTTGTTGTGTGTTAGAAACAATAAAATGTTGTACAACATATCAAAACAATGTCCTGTTTCGTCATCGATACCACGAAGAGACGAAAAACATAATGGTTAAAACAGGATAAACCTAGTTTTTAGGCCTAATCATCCTTGACTACAATGGTAAAACACAGACGAAAACATTTTTTTTTTCTGTTTGAAAAACTTCGCTGTATGTGTAAACAGCCTATGTTGGGCACAATTTTATCGTTTTTACGAACAGACACAAACGTTTCACACTAATTAACAGGTTAATTCAAGTTAAGAGAAGAGAAATAAATTGAACATTTGAATTGTTTAATGCTTCATCTTTAACATATGTAAAATATATTCAAAATTTGAAGTAGTCGACTACAAACGTGTTTTTCTCAAACATTGTTTTGGTCGAAATTCGGTGACAGTTTGTTTACACTTACAGAGCAATGCAAAGCGCTGATGAAAATGCAAGGTGTAGTAGTGCTGATGCGTACTTTGTGTTAACGCCTCTAATTGCATTCTTACTATTGCGTACCTAGCCTGGGTTCCAGGCCCTAATTTTGGGTTATTCACTCTTTATTGCACTTAGTGTGCGCCATACCTAGTTTAATTGGCGTCCCATACTCGACGCAGGGTTCCCGGAACGCCGCCCTGAGCGGCGAGTACGAAGCACAACTCAGGGTCAAAAGTGGAACGTGAAATTTGGATATGGTTTTGTAGTCAGATTTGCGAGAAAAACTTCAGCTACCCGTATTTCTCGACTGAGACGTCAGTGGGAGCTGTAATTTGTATGGCAAGGAGATTGAGCTGTCTCTTATACACATCTAGATGTGTATAAGAGACAGCACCTACTTTATTCATTCATTAGGCCTAATAGTTTCATATTGCTGTACTATATACTCCAACATCACTGGCGCATGGTAACAACCAACTGACTGCAGACCATTTCCGGTCACACATTACTCTCCATAACACAGCCCCACCCCCCTAGTTCCGTCACCTCTGGAATTCTTTTTTTTTATTAGGGCCTGGGCAAACGATTCATGCGTACGATTTCCCACATCAAATTTGATGTGGGATATCGTATGCATGACTGATTTTGTAAATCCCGTGATTGGCTTACTTCATGCATATTAATTAATCTTGGTAAATTTTCCAAAATTGAAGATGCAGATGTCTCGACTAGACAGCTAACCAGCTCCCTTCTGCCTACCTACTTGAATTAAAACAGTTAGTATATAGTCCTGGCCTGCTGCGAACTACTATGGACTGATAACCGTAGTAGGCTGTACTTACAGAACCTTGCTCACCGCTAGCTGCTACACAGATCTAGGCTTTTAGGGTAGAATATTGTTTTAAAAAAATAGGCCTCTGTAATGTAATTAAGAACTTAAAAATAGGTCGAGCCTCTACTAGGCTAGGACTACTACATCTGACTCCAGAGGTCTGATCCATCCTCCTTGAAAGTTATTTGTAATGTCATGCCATCTAGTCTAAGCTTAATTGTTTTTGCCATTGCCAAAATTAGTCTTACTAAGGTCTATTATATTTTAGGCCCGTTTTATTAGGGAGGATTATTTTTAGTCATAACTGGTCGACGCGAGTGACTCAGTTTCGTGGCTCCAAAAATATGAACATTTGATTGGTTGAAATTCTTTATTTCGGTCAGCCCATTTATCCAAATACGGAATAAAAGATTACGTCATTCTTTTGACATCCTGGTGCCTGCATTCTTGGCATCCTGGTGCCTGCATTCAGTATTTTCAAGTCGCTTATTCCGTCTCTGAATTAACCTTCTCGTTGGTGGCGCTGTCCAGAATGAGAAAAATAATTAAAAAAAATAAGAGACTTGTGGCAAGTCTACTGCGTACCGTATTTTGCATGTCAGTATTGGGTAGATCTGGGGTACGTGACTCCTGGCACACATTGCTTCAAACGTCGTTGGCCGACACGATTCTACAGAAAATACTTAGTGCGGGAAAAGCAAGTAAAGCCAAGAATTAGAAGAAAAATAATCCTTTTTGTTGGTGCAAGAAAAGCCACCACGATGAATGTGATCTCTGTAGCAGGCTAAAAAGACACCAAGGCTATATGAAAATGTCATGTATAATCCTGCTTTCTTGCAAAAAAGAAGTTTGTACAACACTACAATGACATCCCTAGATTATCAGACAAGCTTTTGAAATATCCCAATAATGTCAGCTCTTCAAAAATCGCTGTAGAATTCGCAATATCCAACAATCTACTGAAAACCCAGAGGACACGGAACTAGGGGGTGCTGCGTTATGGAGAATAATGTGTGACCGGAAATGGTCTGCCAGTTGGTTGTTACCATACGCCAGTGATGTTGAAGTACAGCAAGATAAAACTATTTATGTAATGCATGAATAAAGTTCGGGGTTTGTCGGGTAGTGAAATGATTCATTTTAAGTGCTCCCTCCGTGCATAAGTATAAGCTAAATTAAGGTGATTAATTAGCGAAGATATGGAGACAATTATTTCGAAGTTCCCTCTTTCCAAGAGGGGTCCAAATGCTTTGTGAAAATGAGTACGCCGCGGTACTCATTTTCACAAAGGAATACACTCAGTTGGTTAGCTAAATAACAATATGCAAATTTACATGAATACCTGGGAATAAAGGTGCAATCACGTTCTGTTGCCTAGCAAACGTCTGTACTGTAGCGTGTTGGGTGGAGGGGGGGCTAGCCTACTGATGTACTGTGTATAGCGGGGGACGATGAAGCATAATATGACTAGGCCTAGGCCTAAGTAGACAGTGCAGTTATATGTGATAGAAAGTACACTTTCGAAAGAAATAAATTAAAATAAGAAAAAAAAAATTAACTAGAGGGCCTAAGAATAATTCAGTTGCAGACGTACCTTGTTCAAGTATTATATGCTAACTATGCGGCTCTTATAGGCCTAGCTAGGCAAGGCACTCATGTGCAAAGCAGTGGTGTTTGTTTATCCATGAAAAAAGCACGCCGGGAAAGTTTGCGTTACCAGGAAAAGGTGACGTTATTTAGTTTATGACGTATGCATGCTAACTCACGCTGAGTGTGACGTCACCAAAAAATAAAAATTTTAATATATTAATATTAATAACTACAAGGATTTTGGGCGTAAATTCCCTTAATACGAATTAAGGATAGCACCATCTCCTTACCATACAAATTACAGCTCCCATTGACGTCTTAGTGGAGAAATACGGGTAGCTGAAGATTTTCTCGAAATTCTGACTACGAAACCATATCGAAAATCACGTTCCACTTCTGACTCTGAGTTGAACTCCGCACACGCCGCTGAGGGCGGCGTTCCGGGAACCCTGCGTCCAGATGAAAACTATTTATTTTTTCATTCAACAATCATTCATTTTACAGCATTGCAACTCTAGTTACGTTCTTTTGTCCAGTTACCACTGAAATAATAATACATACTCCAAGAAAAGAAATACACACCATCGTGCTGGGACGCTCCTACAATTGTTATGTTACACTTCCTTACACCTACGAGTGTACCTTAAGTGTTTAGCAGAAATATCCAACAATCAATCCGGTGTTACGGTCCATGTACGGTACGTTCTGTTTATTACAATCAATAGATGTGTTTCCTTTAAAGGAAAACGTATTAAAATTGGAAAGACCGTTTTCCACCTCCATTATGAAGGCTGAAACTCTTATCACGTAGTTGATATGTACAGACGCATCTCCGGTTACACGTGGCAGGCAAGACTCCAGTGGGTGTCTGTATGGAAATGAATAATCATCAATTCCATACTGATGAAGTCGAAATCTTGAACTGTGATTCCAGATGGTTTCAACATGACGTGAGAGAATCTATCTATATTGCCGTCACCAACCTATATCTCAATAAGGAAAAGGGCAGACATTCAGTCTACCTACAGTCAATATGAATATGTCACGTGACCCGGATATCTATCCGCCGTGACGTGGCTAAGCTTTCGTTCCAGTCTCTTTCTTCTTTATAAAGGTTCGTCATGACAATCGACTTTTTAGCTGCATTGTACTATTTAGTATATTTTGACAATTTGTAAACATTATTGTAAAATTTGTAAACATTGTAATTTTTATTTTGAAATAAACTGCAATTTTAGCGAACTAATAAATACTTGAATGAATACATGATAATATAAAAAATAGTAAAAATACATTGCTAAATGCTACGATAGTTAAATTCTACAAGCTGTACAGTAGTAATAACAGAATATTCACACCCATACTAGTATACGTTACGTTGTATAATGTTTTGCTTTTTTTTGCGTAGACTTACATGTATACAGTAGATGTATGGAAATAGACAAACATTCTAGTTTTTGTTTTGATACTCAATTTTGTAATGTTTTCTAAACGCTGTATACACAATGAGAATCTGGTCTTTAGAATGTAAAGTTGATTGATACATACATTAATCTTCGAGT